GGCCGGGGCTGGCGGGCTGTGACGGCTCCCAGCCACGGGCGCAGGGAAGGAGTGCTCCTTCGAGCAGCTGGAGCACGTGCGGGAGATGCAGGAGAAGCTGGCGCGGCTGCACTTCGGCCTCGACGGCTGCGTGGAGGAGCTCCCCGAGGAGCAGAAGAAAGCGGCGGCCGACCGGAACCTGGACCAGCTGCTGGGACACGTGAGTGTCACCTCCCTCGTCCCCTGCTTGGCCCCGCTGTCATGGCCAGCATCCCCCCTAGCCCTGGCCTCCATGATGGTGCCTCAACCTTGTCATTTGCCTCCTGCAGCTGGAGGAGCTCAGCAGCTCCATGTATCCTGGGCTGGGGGTGACGGTGGCGGCAGTGACGGTGGCAGCCACGGCGGTGACAGTAGTGATGGAAGGCGATGGCGGCGATTGTGGTGACGGAGATGGTGGTGGTAGAGGTGGTGATGATGGAGGTGGCAACACTGGTGGCAGTTGGCAGTGATGGAGGTGGTGGTGCTGGTGGCGGCTGGTGATGGCGGTGGCAGTGGAGGTGGTGGTGATGGCAGGTGGTGCTGGGGGTGGCAGTGATGGAGGCGGCTGATGGTGGTGACAGAGGTGGTAGTGGTGGTAGAGGTGGTGGTGAGGGAGGTGGGAGGGGTGGTAGAGGGGGGGGTGATGGAGGTGGTGGTGATGGCAGGTGGTGCTGGGGGTGGCAGTGATGGAGGCGGCTGATGGTGGTGACAGAGGTGGTAGTGGTGGTAGAGGTGGTGGTGAGGGAGGTGGGAGGGGTGGTAGAGGGGGGGGTGATGGAGGTGGTGGTGATGGCAGGTGGTGCTGGGGGTGGCAGTGATGGAGGCGGCTGATGGTGGTGACAGAGGTGGTAGTGGTGGTAGAGGTGGTGGTGAGGGAGGTGGGAGGGGTGGTAGAGGGGGGGGTGATGGAGGTGGTGGTGATGGCAGGTGGTGCTGGGGGTGGCAGTGATGGAGGCGGCTGATGGTGGTGACAGAGGTGGTAGTGGTGGTAGAGGTGGTGGTGAGGGAGGTGGGAGGGGTGGTAGAGGGGGGGGTGATGGAGGTGGTGGTGATGGCAGGTGGTGCTGGGGGTGGCAGTGATGGAGGCGGCTGATGGTGGTGACAGAGGTGGTAGTGGTGGTAGAGGTGGTGGTGATGGAGGTGGTAGTGGTGGTAGAGGTGGTGGTGATGGAGGTGGTGGTGATGGTAGTGGTTGATGGTGATGGAGGGGGTGCTGCTGGTGGTGGCAGTGGAGGTGGCGGTGATGGAGGTGGCAGTGATTGTGGTGGCTGGTGGTGGAGGTGGCCATGACGGCAGTTGGTGGTGACAGAGGTGACACTGACGGTGGCAGGGGGACAGCACTTTCCCTTGACCCGCGCTCAGACAGAAGCTGCACCTGGCCGAGAGCCCCGACCCCGAGGACGCGGCAGCCGGACCCTGACCCCGCGCGCGGCCCGGCTGGGGAGAGGGAAAGGGGGGCCGCCACCAGGACCCCCCACCAGGACCCCCCACCCCCGGGAACCCCACAGCGGGGCCATCCTCCCCGCGGAAGGGCCGAGAGAGGCGACAGCGGTCACACAGAGCGGGGCCGCCGGGTCCTGTCGTCGTCCCCCGCCCTCAACCCACCGCCGCCATTTTGGTGGGACCCTCCGTGACGGGGGGGCGGGACGGGCCCTGGCGGCGCGGCCGGATGACGTCATCAGGCGGCGCCCCCTCCCGTTGTCCCGGCCATGGCGGCGGCGCTGGGGCCGCAGGCGGAGGCGGAGGGGTGGCGGCAGCTGCTCCGTGCTGTCACCCGCCTGCAGGTGGGGGCCTGTCCGGAACGGGGGGCTTGGGCGGGGTGGGGCCTATGGAAGGAGGTGGTGGGGTCTCGGGGGTCCCCCCGTGGGGAAACATGGGCGGGAGAGGTCTGTGGGGGAACATGGCGGGGGG